TGATGCTTTTATGTGTATGGATGATCCATATTTATGGCACTTAAGATTAGGACATATAAATAAAGACAAAATGAATCAAATGGTTAAAAGAGGCTTGCTCTCCAATTTAGGAGAAATTGTGTTCAAAACATGCGAGTCATGTATTTTTGGTAAAAGCCTGATCTTTGCGATCGATAGTCTCACGACATTGCCCCTAATCTTAGGAGTAGGTCCATCTCTTCCCTCAAGTTTTGCAACATTCAAAGGGAAAGGTGGGGAAGGGGAGGAGAGAAGATGGGGGACAAAGAGGCCACATCATCATCATAATCTTTTTTCAATTAATTGGGGCTCCACAAATTTCAGTCTGCAATTTTGCTCAATTAAGGGCCATACCCTCAGACTGGCCATATCATATTTATAAAACGATTTTTGATTATCAGCTAAGAAGAAAAAGGCTAGAGGATTTGATATTTCTCTTTGTTTTGATTAATGGAAAGACTAGTGATGTTGGTATCTCTTTTTCTATTTTGGCTTGGCTTTAAGAGCTTTAAATTTGTTACAATGAGGCCATCTACATTTATTACAAGAAATCATAATAACTTATGGCCGTAGGATGTGAAATTGGGCAAGTGGGGCTGTGCCATTGACCTCACTAACAGTTTAATAAATATTATTTTGGAATTTGTAATGTACACCAAGGTGTAAAATTTCCATTTGATAATGACTAATAATGATAATCTTTTTGTGTCGAAGGTAAATAATTTTATAATTTATTCTAAAAAATAATCTTTAATGTTTTAGAAGCTCGCGGAATGGCCTTTGTAGGTGTTTCTAGTAGGCTATCTTGGATATATATCATATTTACTTCAACAAAGCAAAAAAATATTCACTTAAAAAAATATTACAAAGGAAAAACATAATGTAAGAAACCTAGAAACCTAGTTGCATAGGAAAGATGCTTAACCAATATAGTATAATGCTCATCTCGAACCTCTTGTAAGGGAGAACCTAAGAGCTAAGAGTGTGCCATTCTCATGAGAGTGATGGTTCCAAATATATACACACATGATTTTTATATGATTTGAAAAATGTGTAGAACATTATGGGTTGGGTCAGGTCCAGTCACGCCCAACATAGAACTGAACAACCTGGTTGGGTCTGAGATGGGCCCATACCCGACCGGACTTGACTATTGGCTCCACACTTCTATGTTGGACCCTACCTGCCAGGTTCGAAAACTAGATTTGTATTGAAAGCTAAGTAGAGTCGACCCAACCCAATTGCCACCTCTATTCGAGGCCTATATTGGGTAAAATCTAAGAGAAACATGTTTCAAAATTCATAGTTTGGTTTATAACAGGAAATTAGGGTACCTGGCATTGCAGTTTAGGGAATCAAGAAAAATATGGGAAAAATTATGCCTAAATAAGGGGTATTTGAGACTTAGTATGATATATGCTTCATAGAGGCACTTTGGGAAGAGAAAGCTTTGGGAGAAAGTTCAAGAAGAAGTTGTAGCGGCAACGTCTATTTCGTACAATACAAGATGTGCATCACAACATAGTTTCCGGACCTGATTGAGTCGATGGGTATCTTTATCGGTCTAGTCCAAAGTGAAAACTAATTTTTATTAAAAACCGATTAAAATCAATGTTTATTCCATTTTAGACGGTCGAATTAGCGGGTTTTAACCTGTTCAACTATTTAATATTCTTAAACTAATTTATACATTAGTCTTTCCTTTTTCTTCTAAAATTCGATTCAACTAGTTTGGTTAGTGGTTGGGCTGATTTTGACTTAACCAAACTCCTCACGGGTTCGATGCTCAGTTCGATCCTCGTAACATTGTATTACAGCATGTGCCACATGTAAACCTAAAATAGAATTTGCATATTTGTTTAGTAATGGCAGTGGCTTTCAAATGGTCGGATCTTGGACTACTGGAATTTAGCTCCCGACAGGTTTTAGATCAACTGAACACAATTTGATAGTGTAGAATTCGTTGACATAAGTTCGAAGGTTTTTAAGGGTACCATGATAATTTAGAATCCTAAGGTGTATGAAAAAGCTTTTAAGGTCTATATAAACGTGGTAGTAGCAAGAATTCAAACCAATCAAATATCATGTCCCAAAATTTGGGGTCCTAAAAATACACGAAGGTTTTTGCATGATGAGAGGAGTGCACAATTTAGTCCCCTTGGAGAATACTATCCTAGACTTGTTAAAACCTAGAATCGGCTCGAGTTAGTCCTCTAGTAAACTAATTTGGATGGGATTTGTCTGATCCAAATTAGTCCACTCTCCAATATAAGAAAATTTTAAATACTAACAAGAAAACAATAACTAAAAATTTAAATAGGTGAAGATCTCTTGGTGCTTTGGCCTAGGTTGTCGATTCTTGTAACACAATGGCCCGATTTCTCTGGTAGATCCAAACAATTTCCATCTAATCAGGCCTATTCCTAGTTTCGAAAAGAGTTTCTACATATATGAACATCTAAAAATAATATACACGTTCTAACATATATATTCACTAAACTCTAAGTCGTTAAGATTTCTCATAAAAAATGTAAAGATTCCATATTTTAGATCCATTCAAATATTAAGAAATTTCAAATGATCTCAAGAAAAAAAAAAGGCTTATGTGGAAAGAATTTTCCTACTCAAAGTATAAAACTTCTAGTAGAAATCAAATTTTCTTCTATTTTAATACGGGGCAAATTTAAATGGCCGAGTAAATGCGGGTAATTATTTCTTTCTTCTCTTCTTGCATGATACACTACCTCTGCTTTTAAAAGACAAATGTCAAATAATGCTATTCGGTAATAAGGTGTTACATATTACGAGAAAATATGTTTTTTTTTTTGTTATAAAGAGGTCATAATTATTCCAAATTATTAAATGTTAAACCGGATGACTAGAGATTTTTTACAAAATTCAAATAAATCTTTTTAAATATTGAGTCTAGTCAAGATCATTCTTTGGATCATCCGAGTTCAAATATGCCAAACAAGAATAAATGTGAGCGCCCTCTAAAAGTAAATAATCTTCTAACATATTTTTTCCAAAATAATAGGTCCCCTCGTCTACAATAATGGGAAGAATACTAGCCCTACGGACAGTCCAAAGTTGCCCCAATATTTTAATATGAGCCTTTTGTGAACATGTACTTGTGCAGCACAAGGGTGAGGAATGGTCGGCAAATAAGGATTCTAATGCGAGTCAAGTTAAGAAGGGAATGTTTCTACATACTTATAATTTAGAGAAAGTTGCTAAAAATTTTCAAAAATATATTTTCTAAACACTTTACCTCCACTTTAAACTTTTTTCATTTATTTTTCTCAAAAACCATCTTTTATAACTAATGCCCCTATCTCAAAAAGTTACATCCTTTTCTTACGAAAATACCCTCCCTTCACATAACAAATCATTTTCGGATCCTAATAAAATAAAACGTCGGACCACATTTATACAACGCATGCTCAGTTTATCATACTTCAGAACGTTGGACTGCCCCTACAAAATTCTGGACTACCATATCAAAACACTGGACTGCCCCTTCAAAATGTCGGACCGCCCATTCTAGCAAAAAATAATAATTTGTCGGACGGCCACTGTAAAATGTCAGACCGCCCATTCCAGCAAAAAAAAAATGCCAGACTGCTTGTTTAAAATGCCGGACCGCCCTCTCCAACGAAAATAATTTGTTAGGTAAGGAAAGGGTATTTTCATCTAAAATAAATGAACTTTTTGTATAGAGGTATTAGCTAGAAAACATCATTTTTTGGGGGGAGTTGCTAAGAAAAATTGTGTAGGGTGTAAAGTGGGTAAAAAGTCCATCATGGGGGGTTTAGCAGTTTTCCCTATAATTTATATTGTTTTCTAGATATACAATCTTTTGGTTTTTATTTAATAACAAAGTATGAGCTAAAATTAACTTTCGACATCGACATCTAATGTGGTTATTCAATTATTATTAATATGTGACAATATTGTTGACTCATTTTTAACTATCCAATCCAATCAATATGAGTTTGAATGTCTCCATTGAGATGAGATATCTGTATCTTAGGTCAATAATCCAAAAAAGTAGAGATGTTGAGGAAGGATGTCACATATAGAATTAGAGCTGGGTGCGCAAAGTGGATATGCGCAATCGAAGTTTTATATGATCGCTACATGCTAATGAAGCTGAATGGGAAGTTCTATATAACAACTATGAGACCAGCTTTGATTTTATAGAACAAAATGTTAGGCGGTCAAGAAGCAACATACATATAAGATGATTGAAGCAGAGATGAGAGTGTTGAGAATGTTGAGATAGGATTCGAAATGAAAATATTTAAGGGAACTTGGGAGTGTCTCGAATAGGTGATAAGATAAGGGAAAGTAGATTTAGATGGCTAGTCATGTTCAACGCATACGCAATACAATATTGGTTAGGAGGTACGATTTGGTTAAAGTGAAATATTTCAAAAGGCAATGAGAAGGCCTAAAAGGATATGTATAGAGGTAATAAAAAAAAATATAAAGACTTATAGTCTTAATGAGGGTATTGTTCTTGATAGAGAATAATGACGGAACATGATTTATGTAGCCAACCTCAAATATTTAGAATAAGGTATTGATGATGATGGCGATGATGATTATGTACAAGGAAACATCCAAGGTAAGCCCCTAGAGTAACATAAAACTTAAGAAATTTAATTAGTTGAAAACATTGCATTGTTGAATGTACAACGAGGATGACTTAGACGTCATTGTACAAATATAACAAGACTCACAACTATTATTGATCATTAGATGTAAAATTGGGTGAACTAGACACAATGTTCCAAACAAAATTTTTTGAATACTATAATACACTTCAATACATTAAATATCACATCCAATGACTAAGAATAATAATAACCGCCATGTACAAAAAAATTAATGATTCGCAAAAAATAGCCCTCTCACGGCATAAATTCCAAATTTCTAAAGGACGTTTAAAGTACAAGGAGCCTTTATAGTCCTTCTCTCGTTGTAGAGCTCAGCGTGCGAAGACAACATTTCGCGCGTGTGGCTTTTAGGGTTTCTCAGAGCGCTCACTATATATTACACTGAAACCCTAGCTTTCCCAGAGATTGTAGAGAGAGAAGCGAAGGGAAGCAGGAGATTGTTTTAGAGAGAGAAAGATGCCTGCTGGTCATGGTGTTCGTTCTCGCACCAGGGATCTCTTCGCAAGGCCTTTCAGGAAGAAGGGTTACATTCATCTCACTACTTATCTTCGCACTTACAAGGTTGGAGACTATGTCGATGTCAAGGTTAATGGCGCTGTTCACAAGGGAATGCCCCATAAGTTCTACCATGGACGCACTGGTAAGGTCTGGAACGTCACAAAGAGAGCTATTGGTGTTGAAGTGAACAAGCAGGTTCATTTCTCTTGTCCTTCATTTTAGGTTTTCTTTTTCTTTTTTTCCTTTTTGTTTCTGCTGTGAGTTTTTTTGCTGGTATTTGATTTGATTTGATTTTGCGATGATATGGGAATGCTTAGAAGTTAAGGACCTGTGATTTTTAGGTTTTGTTTTGTGATTGTTCTGTTTTGATTGTGCTGATAACATTTTGTGTTAGCACTGTTGTTTACTTGTTTTTCTCCAATTGTACTGGTATTTGTGCTTGGATATGGTAATTTTCACATTTATTGTTTGGAAAATGCTTGATTACTTGATTTGTTAATACTGCGTAGAAATGGACTTCTTGTTCCAGTGTAGATTAGGTTTTTGTATTATTACTGTTAACTATGTTCTGGAGTAATTTTGTTGCGCAATTGATTGGAATTAAAATGAAACTGAGAAAGTTATATAAAATTTGAATTTGAAACTGAGGACAAACTGAATAAGCAAAATTTTGGGAGATCTATATTGACCGAAATTTGGAATAAAGAACTTCAGATAAGATCTATAAATTGCAAAGCTCACCTAGGAAGAGTAAATAGAGGAGCATTGTTCCAACATTGGTGCTGAAGTTCGTGTTTGTAGAGGCGTTTGATTGGAGCCCACTGTTCAGTATCATATGCAAAATGTATTTACTGCTTGTTAAACTTCACACACTTTGGGAGATTGTATTTTTTGTGATTTTCCCCAGTTGGATCTAACTGAGGCTTTTGCCTTATTGTGCACTGAAAGCAAAGATCCATGATTACAATTAGATATCGAAGCCTGATTAGAGTTGTTCTAGTTATCATTTGTGCATTATCTGGCACTGAAATATAGTATTTGGGATTATTATTAGATATGGAAGCTTGCCAATGTTATTCTAGCTTTTGTCAAGAAAAGATACCCACTAATCTCTCTTATAATTGCAGATTGGTGATGATTAAATTTATAAGGTTTATTGGCGCTTCTATTGTCTAATTAGTTGCCTGTAGGAAATTTGGAAGGACTAGGAAAAATTAGCAACAAAGGGATTATGGAAAAGGTTTTGAATACATAATATTATGCTAGCATCTGGGTTTCAGACGACCTGGTAACTTCTCCACAGTCATCCTGATGGATGACGAGGTGCTAGCCTAGTAAATCCAAATGCTTTTGCTCCCCCAAATGCTAATGTTTATATTTGGAAATATAACAAAATGCATTTTAAATTGAGGCTGAGAAGTTTTGTTTTGCTTTTTTTTTTTTTTTTCCCCTCAGCCCCCCTTCCCACCAGGGGGGTTGGGGGAGGGGTGGTGTGGACTGTTGGTTGGTGGTGCATACATGGGCTTGGGTTTCTTTGAAATCCTGAAAGCTTGCGGATTAGTCCATTTTTCAGATGGACAAGAATGTTTTGGGAAATAAGTACAGTAGTTTCACACAGTATCTGCTCAGAAAGATGTTACGACTAAAAGTAGACCTTCAAAGGTATTTATCAGAAAAGAAAAAGTAGGCATTCAAAGACTGACTAGAGATGTTGTTTTGCTTTGTCAAAGCCAAATATCTGAGGTCAAGTGGATAGCTTCCAGTATAATGTTTCTTAAGTTCTTATAGAAAGTTATCAGAGCTTTCCCATTGCAGTAGCTGTTGAAGTTAAAGCACTTCATTAAGTGGGCTATTTTGCATCTAAATTGGCCAAATCTGCCGTGCTTAATAACTTCAGTTGACATTAGAACATCACTCTGTGCACCCATCTTGTGGGATGCTGTCTGTAGATTAACCTTTTGGATACCCTTTTACCATTTATACAAATTAACGTTTCTCGAAAAACATTTCTCAGAAGAGTTTCTCTTTCATCTCAACGATGTCATAGTTCGTGACGTCTTATGATATGTTTAATTTGTGAGTGGTGGTAGTTGCAAGACATGATAAACGACTGCAAAACACAGTTAGGCAGAAGATAACAGGAATGGAGGTGTAAACATTTCAAGGATACACTTGTATTTTCTATTGTCTTAATTAGTAAATTAGAATTTGACAAATTAGAAGGAATATAGAATTTTTTAGAATTATACTTTGCACACTTAGGCTTTTTTCTTTCTTTTTTTATTTTACTCCTGGCAAGCTTTTTAAGTTTTTTATAGGCATAATTATGCTTGAATATGAATATATGCACGAATGCATTCTATGTGATCTTTTTTCTGAATGTGGGATTTTATAATTCTTAATACTGTGGCTTATTGAAACTTAAACAAGATGTCATTTGATAGTAATTCACTTGCAATATGGATTCTAGTTACATCTCTTAATCTATACAGTTAACATTATAAAAAAAAAAAAAGTATTCCAGGTACAAATTGTAGACATTTACTTGAGGTGTTCATGTGGACTCGTGTCTTGAATATGGTATAATGCAATGTCACTGGCTGCTGGCTTAGGGTCTTTGAATTTTTTGTATCTTACCATGTGACCTTGTGAACATTTTTTTTTGTCACTTCAGTTTTGTCTATGCTTTTTGTTTCTTCAGTGAAGTGATCCTTATCTTAAGGAATCTTGCAGGGAATTCCCTTGAAGATACAAAAAGGCATTGAGATATTTTTAAGAGAATAACTTTGTTGAACACCTTCTATATCCCATTTTCATCCACATATGGCCCAATATCGTCCATCCTAATTGTGATCATGTTAACATCTGAAATTTCCTTGGAAAAATCTAGGAATTAGTTTAATAATATCTTGTCTGTTTCAGGATCTCATGATCTTTCACGTGCTCCTCAGTGAGATCATTTGATATATCATCTGAGGATGGAGATTTTATTAGCCTTGTTCACTAACATGTAGTTTGGATGCAAGATATGTTTTGGTCAATATACTTTTGAGTTCCAACAAAATGTAGTGTTTTGCAAGCGGTATGAAAACTGCAATTTTCAATTTCCATCTTGTTCACAAAACTGCAGTTACTTTTATTTGTCTATATCTAAATGTCATTCTGTAGTGCCATTCAAAGAAGCCAGTTTATCACAAATTTGGCATTGCCGAAACATTTTTCACTGTGGCAGCTGGAGGAGCCTTTTTTGTTAGGAAAATTCATCTGTTGTGAGTAATGAGTGCAGTGGCACTTTCTAATACTCTAGTATGATTGGGAAGTTGAAAATGACAATGTCAAGGTGACCATACCCTGCTAGTGATTCCTCTAAACCCATAGAATTTTACATTTTTAGTTACCCTTACATAATCCATTGAAGTTAAAGTAAATGTGTTGCTGGCTGAAAGGATAAACATTCCTTTCATTGAATTAATATTTACTCATATCCTCTTCTGTTACATGTCATCTCTTAGTCTTTTATCGTCAGGGAAACCGTGTTGTACTGGATTGCAGTGGCTCAAAGATGCCATGTGTTACTAGGGAGCATCAAAGGTCATCTTGAATTTTTTTTATAGACCTTTATTGTCCTGAAGTTCTATTTTTTTCCGAACACGAGCTTCTTTATTTTTCATCTCAGTTAATATTGTGTTGCATCAATTAGAGATGCTGATTCTCTGCTACCCTTTATACATTCAATGCTTCTTCTTGGTGTTTCCCAACTACGCCATGAATTTCCCTCTTGAGCCTATGCCTGTGTTATTGTGGTCCCCTTTTACCTTCTCCAGGTTTTGTGTTTTATTTATCTCGAATTACATCTTTCATTGATACTCTGAAGCCACCAACAATATCGGATAGTCACAAGTAAACACGACATTATGATTTGTGATGGAATGCTAATTTATATACTGGTTTCTCATTTTTTGCTTTCCTTAAAACTTTTTGTTTTTTCAGGTCGGAAACAGGATAATCAAGAAGCGGATCCATGTTAGAGTGGAGCATGTGCAACCTTCACGGTGCCGTGAAGAGTTCAAGCTGAGGAGAATCAAGAATGATGAGTTGAAGGCAGTAGCAAAGGAGCGTGGTGAGAAGATAAGCACAAAGAGGCAGCCCAAGGGCCCCAAGCCCGGGTTCATGGTGGAAGGGGCCACCATCGAGACTGTGACTCCCATTCCTTATGATGTGGTCAATGATCTCAAAGGTGGATATTGATAGTGCCCATTATTCAGTTTTGGCCTCTCTCCATCTCTTCTCCCCTTTTTTTGTTTTTTTCATTTTTTGTAGGCCTTTATTTTCGTAAATTCAGGACTCTCTTGTTTTACTTTTGTCACCTGATAAGATTTTGGTAGCACTGGATGCAATATCATTTTTGTTTTTGAATTTTTTTTTTCCTATGCAAAGATAATGCGAAGTAACATACGTTTCTGCAATTTTTTTGAGCTATATATTCCAAGTTATGAGCAATTTTCAATTGGGGTAATGTTGGCAATTACTTGCGAATCGTGGAAATTCACGAAGGTACATGCATTCTATGGCATTTGCCATGTCAACATGATATCTATATTATTATTATTATTTATGGCGTAGGCATGAGTAGTAAAAATGGAGGGTGATGCTACGCCTAAAGAAGATATAGGGCAAGTGTCCTTTAGGGAAGAGTTAGCTACATAGGAAAATTAAGGTGGGTACGCTTCCTCCTAAATTTTGAAAAAACGAAGGAAAATTTTTATTTAAGGTTGCACCTTTAAAATGTAGAACTAAGGATGCACCTCAAAAATCCCCGGGTAAAGGTGGTTTTAATGTTGAAAAACCTTCTGATTGACATCGAGATATATGGTTTTGAAAAATGAAAAGATTTTTGAGTCTAAAAAAAGCGCTTCTTACAACATATTATTTATACCGTCCATAAACACGAGAATGGAAAGAGAGAATTTCTCGACTATGTTATCCAAAAGAAGTTAAAAAATGGTAGGTTCTAGTCCATCAAGGAAAGGTACTTATCTATCTTATTTGATATAATTATATCCCTACGAAATCGTTGGTGAGAGAAAGGAGTGTGGAGGTAATCTAAAGTTTTTTAGATAAAGGAATTGTAGTGAAAATATATAAGTTTGTTTCAATACGATATCTATACTAAATATGATAATGGTGATTTCTACGTTACAATATCTATATTAAATATGATAATGGTTATTTTTACATTTTTGCTATGATTCTCAACTTCTAAAATCACGTATGGAGTTGTTGGTTTTAACTTCTAAATAACGAAGAAATAGTTTCCTCTATTTAACTGTCCATGAATGGGTCCAAAAAGGCTTCGACGTATCTGCTCTTCCTCAATATCTATACTATATTATTAAGCAAGATTTTAAGGTTCTTTTCTTTATCACCATGAATCGGTTTCGAGGTATTTGCTCTTCTATAATATCTATATTATATTATTAAGCAAGATTTAAGGGGTGGATACGTGTTGTGAAAATAAAAAAAGTCCCTAATTGTATAGAGGTTGTAGGACACATTCTTAACTCTAAAAGAAGAGAGAGAATAGGAAGGATCTAGGGAGGGTTCTTAATTGTATAGAGGTTGTAAGATGCATTCTTAACTCCAAGGGAAGAGAGAGAGCTCAATCTTTGAAAATAAGAAAGAGTAAGTGAGGGAGAAGAGAGAGTACATATGTTTTTGGGGAAGAAAGGGGGGGGGGGAGGCATAAATTTTATGGGCAAAAGAGAGGAAGAAAGGGAGGAGAGTCATAAATTTTAGGGGGAAAAGAGAGAGAGAGTAGTCTCCTAACATACTATATTATATATATATCTAAATATACATATCTCTAAAATATAGAAGAGTGAGAGAGGGGAAGAGAGAGAGAAAAGAGCATGAAAATGCTCATCTCAATATTGTTTCTATATCTTAATTTGAGAGAGAGATCAACATTGTTTTCTTATTTTAATAAGAGATTTCCATATCCATCTTTATGTTGATTAGAAAGATAGTTAAGCAAGAGTTAAGGGTCGAACACATGTCTACATATCTTGATTAGAGAGATAGTTAAGCAATAGTTAAGAGTTGGACACATGTCGCGAAAATAAGATGGGCCTTAATTTTATAGAGATAGTAGGACAAATGAAGGGCCTTAATTTCATAGAGATAGTAGGACAAATTCTTAACTTTAGAGAGAGAGAGCAATCTCTTAACTTGTCATATTATATCCTTATCTAAACATAGCAGATCTTTTTATATTGCATATTTTATATCTTTTCAACTAATTTTAGGGAGAGAGAGAACATTTTAAGGAAAGAGAGAGATCAATCTATATCTTAAAATCTATACTTACTATTTTCTTACCTAAAATATCTCTCCATGCTAAGAGAGAGATTCTATATCCTATTTGGAGATAGAGATAGATAGAATATAAGAATGAAATTAAAGAGGTTGTAGGATACATTCCTAATTTAAGGGAAGAGAGAGAATATGAATGGTCCATGTATAGAGGTTGTAAGATGCAGTCCTAATTCTAAAGGAAGAGAGAGAGCTCAATATTCTAAAATAAAAAAAATAAAAAAGAGTGAGAGAGGGAAGAGAGAGAGTATGTATATTTTAAGGGAAGAAATGAGAGATAGAGAGGGACATAGTGGTATAAATTTTAGGGAGAAAAAAAAAGTGAGAGAGGGGAAGAGAGAGAGAGAAAGACTTCAAAAATAGGGAAGAGTAAGAGAGGGGAAGGGAAGAGTGAGAGAGGGGAAGAGAGGGAGAGAAAGGGCATGAAAATGTTTATCTCAATATTGTTTCAATATCTTGTTTGCGTATTTTAATAAGAGATTTACATATCAATACTTATCTCAACATTGTTTACATATCTTGATTAGAAAGAGACAATTAAGCAAGAGTTAATGGGTAGATACATGTTGCAAAAATAAGAAGGGTGTGGCCAGTGTTATAGAAATTGTTGGATAGATCCTTAATTTTCGGGAAAAGAAAGTAATCTCCTAACTTACCATATTATATCCTTATCTAATAATAACATACTTTTTTATATTTCATATTTTTTATCATTTCAACTAATTTCATAGAGAGAGTATGTATGAGAGAGACAGAAATACTATATTTTATGGAGAGAGAGAGAGCCATCTATATCTCATCTATATCTTAAAATATATATTTAGTATTTCCTCACCTCTCTCATGCTAAGCGAGAGAATCTATATCCTAATTAGAGAGAAATAGTATTTTCTATCATTTCAACTAATTTCATAGAGAGAAATAGATAGAATAACAGGAATATGATAAATTACAAGGAGATTATGAAGAAATTAAAGATAATATGAGATTATTCCATATTTTAGAAAGAGAGAAAGAGCAATCTGTATCTCACCTATATCTTAAAATCGATACTTACTATTTTTTCACCTATAAAATTTTATAATTAGAAATGAAAATAGATTCTCAAGCGATCCTAAAAATTTTAAATGTCAAAATATGGTTATTCAGAGCCTCAGCTTTATATAAACTTTTTTTTATTTTAATAATTACAATTTTTATAAAATATTTTAATTAAATTAATGAAGGATGATATTGTCCTATTAACGACATTAGCTATTTTGGAAAAATAAAAGTGATGATTCATTAGCATTTATTACACATGGTTTTCCTGCTTCCAAGATGACATATGTGATTGTGATAATTATCTAATGAGTTAACCTTATAATAGCTTGGCAATTATAATGAATAGTAATATAGGTAGAATGAGAGCCGCCAAATCTTCATCATGTGGTTCAGAAAGATATCACTACATGAATTTTAATATTTTTTCTAGAAATCGGATCATAATGATATTTTAGATATGTGTACTAAAAAATAAGATGCACAATTAAAAAAGTATAAAAAATATTTTTTAAAATATAAAATGACCGAAATACCTCTTAAAAATGATGAGGATAATTTAGTCATTTTAAATTATTGAAAATAACTTCTTTTTACATTTTTATATTGTGCACAATAGCGTTAGGTATATACACCTAAAATTTAATCTTAATCAGTTTTATACAAAAAACTTAAAATTAAAATAGTGATATGTATTTTGTACCACTCGATGAAGATCTGACGGCTAGGATTCTACCTATATTACTATTCTTTACAGCTCTCATAGATTTTTCTTTATTTAATAAGTTCCTCTATGTACGTCGATCCATCGGAAAAATCCTACTTTATACTACTTTATCTATCCAAAATTTAAAGGAAATAGTTTATATAAAGATGCAACCTTATAATGTAGAACTACAGATGTGCCACAAAAATCCATTGGAAAAGGTAGTTTTAATGTTGAAAAACCCTTTGATTGATCATCTCGACATCGAGATGTATGATCATGAAAAATAAAAAGATTTTAAATCTCAAAAATAGTGCATTTTACAACATATTATCTACACCATCCATTTTCAAGATTTTTGTATGTTTATAGATTTGTTTGATTTTAACCATTTTTTAAATTTAAAATTTTATAATTAGATATAAAAATAGATTTTTAAATAATCCTAAAAACATTTTACATCAAAATTATATAGAGGTATGCATCCATATGCCAACTGCACCCAAATTTAAATGCCAACTGCACCCAAATTTAAAATATAAAAGTATGCATCCGTATGCCAACTGCACCCAAATTTAAAATATAGAGGTAGTTGCAACCTCATTGACTTAAATAGCTCTGGTTTGTGCATATCTAAAATCCATATGATCCGTGCACACCTCTCTTTCTCTCTCTAAAATACCTCCATCCGTGCACACCTCTTTCTGTCCTCTCTCTACGTTCCCCATATATATCCTCTCCCAATTAGAACGGATATTAGGGAGTGGTAGAGAGAGAATCTCTACGTTCCCATATATATCCTCTCCCAATTTGAAAGGATATTAGGGAGTGGTAGAGAGAGAAAACAATGTAAAAAACGTTTTCTCTCTCTAACCACAATTCAACTGTGAGATGAACCGACTTTCTATTTTATCAGGATTCCTGGCTCTCTCATGATTTCGATCTATAAATACCTTATTGAGGAGTTCATTGTGAAAACCATATTCCTCATTCACCATTACTGTTCTATACTAACTAAGGATTAATTCCTCATTCTTCTCTCTCCTTCCAAGCTTTTACAATCCTCACTCCAGGGATCCTTTCTCTCCAGGGTTTTAGGTTACTGCTTCTGAATTACCCAGGAAGAAAGAAGCAACTTTCCTACTGGTATGTTGAACTTAGCCTTTCTCTTTTTTTCTTTAAATTAATATTACTCAATCTTATACTTTTCCAGATTTTTATGCGCTTTTCTCATGCTTTTTTTTGTTATGCTTCCCTGTGTCTTATTGAAACAAAACCAATGAATATTGTAACGAGAAATATAAAGGAATTATTGAATTAACATATTTTGCTGTAAATTAAGTTCTTCGAGTTTTTTCAAGTTTTAAAGTAAAGCCAATATTGCATTCTCTAAATAGATCTAAAAGGATTAATTTGAAATAAATTGCTGTCAATTATTAACTCAATGTTGTTGCTTTTTTTCTATTTTGAATTTTCTTATAAAATCGGCTTAAAAGTATTTTATTTTTTATTGAATTTTTATGCTTCTAAATGTTATGCATGTAATAGCTTTTATAATATAAAGATTAAAGTATTTATTAAATACAAAGCCTTAAAAATTTTTCTTCACCCTTAACAAATAAATAATTAAGGTGGATGCTAGTTATATTTTTTTTAGACAATAAATTTTTTTATTAATCAGAAATGTAAAACAATAAAATTGCAATGTAATAGGAGAAACAAATAAAAGATCGACTTGAACTGCAGCTTAGCCATCAAATCTGCCTTGACATTGGGAATGGGGTAGTTTAATAGCATCAAAGGATTTGGGTAGTCTAATGGAACTTCTATTAAACAAGTATTATAATGAAAGTCCTATTCCAAAACCAATTAGAACTATATCGATTTCAATCTTAATATAAATAATATATATCAACTGAAACTTCTATTAAACAAGATATTCCAAAACCAATTAGAACTATATCGATTTCACTCTTAATATAAACAGTTTATATCAATCTTCTCTTTGGTTATTATATTTGTTTGATTCAGATATCTTATATTTGCATCCATATTCCTTCTCCAAGCTTCTCTATGGACCCCCTCAAGAATCTGTCTCCCCTGTTTATAAAAGGCCAGCTAATCTAACTACTCACCAGCTGTCTCTAGTTGATCTTCTCATTGTACGTTATCTTAGTTATTTACTTAATCTTTTGCTCGACTTAATTAATATTTTGCTCGTGGGCCATTCATGCATATTTGCATGCAGGAATTAACTGTGAATTTTCTTATGCTTGTTTTTTTTTTCTGATCCCATTATTTCGTCTGTCTTCTCCATAATTTTCTTTATTGAACCTATATTATAATTGTGCTATGAAAGTTAATTAGGGTTAAATGAGGTTTCTTAATGTACTACCATGTTTATGCGGGCATGCAGGAATAGATTATATTCTTGGATGAAAATCTTCTTTTTCTGAATCTCCATTATTCTGTCTCTACTACTTATAACCCCTTGTGGAATAAAGAGTCAAGGCTTAAGACTTATACAGAAGTCTTCTCCATGGTTGTCTCAGTAAAATTTATATTGTGATTTGAAAATCAAGGCTTAAGAATTTACATAAGTCTTCTCCATGAAAATAATGGAAAATTAGAGAAAATCATGGAGACCTAATTTATAGGGACTCTAAGCGTTTATATTCAAAAAAATTATCACTTGAAGTATTGGTAAATAATGAAAACCACAACAGAAATTTCCATAAAACCAAAGAATGCCAAGTTCTCTACTTTATTGAAAATTCCGAAATAATTCAGTTGAAAATATTTCAGAATATATCTTTTTCTTATGTGCCCAAGGAATTCTAATCTATAAGAATTCTATTTAATTATCTAAATATTTATCCAAAAATAATAGACATAAAAACCCTTATCTTATCCAATCCAAAAAAAATAAACACAAGGACCCATAAAATTAGAGAATTATCACATTGAAGTGACCCCATCTTATAGTAAAGAGTAACCATATAATTAGAGAATTATCACATTGAAGCGACCCCAACTTATAGTAAAGAGTAAAGACTAAAGAGTAAAGACTAAAGACTAAAGACTAATGAGTAAAGAATAAAGAATAAAGACTAAAAACTAAAAACTAAAAAAAAAAAGGCAAAACAATTCATAAAATTAGTAATTTAATACATTAAAGAGACATTATCGTATATATTAGAAAAAGAGTAGGAATCCATTCTCTTTAGGAATTCAAGAAGGAAAAAAAAAAACCCATAAAACTACTTTTACAAGGGCTCTTGTTTACAATGCAAATTGGAGATATCTTTAGAGGAAGATCACTTAGATCCGTACCACAAATTGATTTTAAAAGTGATAAAGAGTGGCAAACATCAAATTATGATATGAAGCAAGATCTCTTTAAAAACGAATAGATATGCTATCAGATTAGTGACAAAGCCAACATTGATCTAAAAAACACAAAAGATTGAATAAAAAATAAAAATAAAATAATAAATCTGATAAAATAAATGAAAAATAACAGAAAAAGAGTTGATGAGGAAAGTACCTGGCCGGGCCAATTGGCCCGAGGCACCCGAGGCCTCGCCCGTGTCAAAACCTTGGCTGTGTACGTATGTCCTCTGTTATTCTCTCTTCAAACTTGACTAAACCTTGACTTAGTTGAATTAGAGTTTTGCTTATCTAGGCTAAAAGTTAGTTTCAAGGGGGGGGAGGGGCTAAGGCTTAAGGTTGCTTCTCTAGATCTAGATTTTCTCACGGTTTTCTTCCTGGGCTCCCTCTATCTCTCAGATTTCCTAGCCTACAGGTTAACATAGTTTAATCCTAAATGGGTCACAAAATGTGTTTATATAAAGGCTCAAATCATACCATAATGGATACATATCAATTCCAAACATTTTTGCTAGCCAAATTTCCATTTTTGGGGTCTAAGGGAGCCCAAATCTGACCAAAATTAGCAGTTTAGTAGTTTCAGATTTTGGGGTGATTCATATGTTTTTGTGATATTGCCTACCAAAAAAGCCGGCTTGCTCTTTTTCTTTGATTTATTACTAAAGTGGTCCTGCATGATTCTAGGTCAAAGGATAGGGATCACAGACTATGGTGGTCTATGGTTCGGGGGTTCACTAAGATAATGTAGTCCTAAGGGTTCAAGAATATCATAGAATGTGTCAATTTTAAAAATAGGGTGTCTACAGATGTCCCTCTTTGGTACTCCCAGTACTTCGATAGCTGAGTATTAAAGAAGTAGACATTGCGGACATTTTAATTTATCTGATGTCACGTGATTAGAAGGTATACCACCTTTCCCTCCAAGACAATGCGCTCCCTGTTCATCCACCTAGGGCATTTTCATCTTAGGGATTTCGGCGTGAGATGTTCTGGTGATTTATGCAAGCTTGGAACTTAAGTTGCATTTTCTGGCAATGTCATTTAACTTAAGAGGTTTTCACTTTTAAAATTTTGAACCTGGCATTTTCTTTGATTTTTTTAGGGTTTTCTAATGCCTTCTATAGGTTTTACTTGTTTAGAAAAGTGTTTGCCTCTTCAATTCTGAAGAGAGAGCTGTGGCGACAATGCCATAATCACCATCTATGGGTGTCCAAACTCTTTCATTTTAAAAGACATTTTTAGAAATTTTGAAAATAGGGAGAGATTTGAAATAGAACCCAGAACTTAAACAAGTCATGATTTTAACAAAGAAATTAAAATTTTTGAAAATACAAGACATATTGTGAATCATTCTAAAAAGAGAAATAAATTTTGAAAAACAAATTTTTTGTTAGCAGTTTTAGCTCCTACAACCATAGAGCCCTCTAAACAGTTTAACGTCAAGCAGCAATGGACAGATACACCTGACCCTTTTACATCATACAGGGCTAAACGGATACACCGACCTTTTATGTCATACGGGGCTAGACATTTTCTAAATACATGCGACCTTTAACGTCATACAGGGTTAGCCGTTTTCCTGTCTCGGCTCTTTTACGTCGCACGAGTTTGACGTTTTCTGAAATGTGATTTTGATCGGCAGTATAAACTCCTGCCACTAGGGAGTATCTGAAATTTTTTGAAAATTAATTAAATGTTTGAAAGCAATCTTTTTCTTTTCTTTTTGGTATTATAGCCTTTGCCCCTATTTTGGGGAATTATTTGCACACACTTGTCTAACTGAATTTTGAGAAACTCAATCCTCCTATTTATAGGGTTTCTGTCCAAAACTTCCAGTTAATGGACCATCATACATACACACAAGGATAAGTTTGCCAACTATAGAGTGTCTAGCTAGTTTCAAGCCTTCATAACAAGCATAGGAAGTTGGCTTCGAGAGCGAGGCCAAATCGACTAACAGTTTAACCTCTTGTAGTGATGGAGTCTTGATTCTAGAAAAGGAATTTTGAAAATGATTTTTTTATGAGAAAATGAAAGATTACTTTTGAAAACATTTTCGAAAGAGAGATGGGCCTTTAAGTTTTTGCCACTTGTAACCCCTTTGGTAGTTATTTTCTTTATTTCATTTTTATTCACTTATTTAAAGAAGATGAAATGGATTTCCTTGTGAGATCTTGAGGGCCCAAGAGTCTTGATGTTTGACTTGGCCTTTGAAGCTCACATCTTGTGTTTCACAAAACTAAGAGAAGTTCTTTGGGTTCTTGCTGGGCTTCCTTCTTGGAGAGGTTTCGATGTTCTTCCCAAGGTTTGTCGAAGTTTCTTGGGTCTCTAATTCATGTTACCTTCCCATATCTTCCGAGGTTGGTTGTGTTGGGATTAGGAGGAGTCTCCATCCTTAGGGACTGACTGCTTATGCAATAATGTTGTAACTTGCAAGTACCTGTTTGTACTTGAGGTTTTTGATCAAAATCTCCTTTTTGGATGTTTTATTTTTTTTAACCCGTGGTACCCTTTTCGAGTTTTCACCACCTTTTTTTTTTTTTTGAGCCCATTACGGGTAGTATTTCTTGAGATATACCCCATTAATGGGGTCGCTGAGTTCATACCCCTCCTGATTTTTTATTTTGTAGGAATTGTCTAGATGCACTTGGGTTACCACAAATGACCTATCCCAGTTAGGTTTGAATTTGCCTAATGCGTGTGGATTAATAGGAGCATGAAAAATCTCTTTGAGTACCATGTCTCATTTTCTGAATTGTCGGGGAACAACTTTTCTTTGGTATACCCTTCCGATTCTATGATGGTAAGCTACGATGTTATGTGTTGCTCGTAGTCATAATTTGAGTACCATGTCTCATTTTCTGAATTATCAAGAAACAACTTTTATTTGGTATACCTACTTTTCTTTGGTATACCCTTCTGATTCTACGATGGTAAGCTATGATGTTATGTGTTGCTCGTAGTTGTCTTCATCCAAAGCATCGAGGGCAACGACTTGTGCTTTGATCTTTTCTTACTCATCTAAATTATTATGAATGAACACTCGGAGAGATGGTATCTCAACTTCAATGGGTAGCACATCTTCTATACCGTACACTAATGTGTATGGAGTCATGCTAATAGGAGTCTTCTCATTTGTTTGATAGGCCCATAACGTGTCATTTAACTTTTTGTGTCAATCTTTACCACCTTCTATAATTCTGTCCAAGGGTTTAAAAAACGAATTAGTGCCCCAAATCGGGCACCCAAAAAACCCATCCGGATCGGTGATTCGGATCGGGAATCAATCGGATTAAGCCTTAAAGAAAATCCAAAAAAATTATTAAAATTCATTATAAATGTTATTTTTTAGAAATCCAATAAGAAATAGGGGTACTACATTATTAACTTTCATTTTTTTCATCAATATGCGAATATTGAGATGTTCTTTCCTGTATGAACTTATGTTAACCATTAAACTTACATCACACAAAAGAAAAATCATAGAATTATCATGGATGAAGTATACAATCATACATGGACTATAATAAAGAATAGATTAAATCGATGAAAAAATGACCATAAAATCTCGAATTGATGGAAAACCCTAATCCACTAAAAAAAACCCAAATTATTACAACCTAACTAACTATAATCCAAAATTATTGCAATCCAACTGACTATTATATTATATACTTAAAGGGTGTAGTTTGTATAGAGCCTAGGCTCTAAATAATCAAATTAGAGCCTACCTTCAAATAATATCTAGAAATATGGTTTTAATATTGAAAATCTTTGTGATACCCTTAAGATATGTTTTTATATTTATTTATAAAGTTTAAAGCTTCAAAAATAGTGTAGATTGACAAATCTATGAAAACTTGAAAATCTAAAAAATTGACGGTCCAAAATTGTATTATAAAATACACTATTTCCAAAACTTGAAATCCATTTTTTTCTCATGTCCATGCATCTTGATGTCGAGATGGTCAATTTGAAGATATTTGGGCATCAAAACAAACTCTTCTACTGAAATTTTTGGGGGAGGCTCAAATTTGATGGTTTAGAGCCTCGTTTCTATATAAACTTTTCCCATACTTAAATTGAAATTGTTGGTTTACATTTTATAATTATTTTACTATACAAATAATAGCAAATCCAAAATATTTTATAATATATTATTGACAACTGTAAGAAAAAATAGTACATTACATAATTTATAATGCCTATAAATTAATAAATAAAATAAAAGGTTTGCTCATCAATATAGAAATTATTAGAGTGTGCGCCAATTTTTGAAATAACACTTTAATTTTTCAAAAATCTAATTTTTTAGATTTCTAGAATAAATTTAGTGCAAAAAATTGTTAGTAGAGAGAGATTTCAAATGGGCTCATTGTATGAACCCTATCTTTAAATTATATTCTTAAATTTATGTTAAATACCACCATGTTATAAAAGTAAAAAATATAATTAGACTATTTATTTCTAGGTAAAAAAAATCTAACGATAGGCATAGATGAGAGAGAGAAAAAGAGCTAACATGCTCCATCCCTATATTGTATACCTTTACATATCCAATTTAAGTTTATAATAATCGCAACTTAAATGCATGCCTGAAAAACATGATACTTGTTGTATTACCTTTTATTTATTTATTGACAAGAACTACTTGTTGTATTACTTTTTATTTTTTTTTTACAAGAAAAATATGATACTTGTTGTAGTACCTTTTTATTTTTTATTTTGACTAGAAATACTTGTTGTATTACTTTTTTTTTTTTTACAAGAAAAATATGATATTTGTTGTATTACCTTTTATTTTATTTTTAACAAAAAATACTTGTTGTATTACTTTTTTATTTTTTTGATGAAAAAATAAGAAAATAATTTTATTTTTGACGAAAAATACTTTTATTACTTTTCATTTTTTTCTTGACAAGAAATACTTATTGTATTACCTTTTTTTTTTCTTACAAGAAAAATATGATACTTGTTTTTTACAATAAAAATATGATACTTTTTGTATTACCTTTTATTTTATTTTTAACAAAAAATACTTGTTGTATTACTTTTTTATTTATTTAATGAGAAAATAAGAAAATAATTTTATTTTTGACAAAAAATACTTGTATTACTTTTTTATGGTATTAGTTTTTTATTTTTATTTTTGACAAAAAAAATATGAAAATAACAAAAAACTAAAGATGGTGCCTCCAAGGAGGTTCGAACTAGGGGACCTTCAAGTGGGTAAGAAGACATGATAACCAAATATACCACGTACTGGTGGTTGTAATGTATGCGTGAATAAATGATTATATTAAAAGGCAAAAGTATATTAAGGATTTGTCCCACATCGAAGAGATGTCGGAAGAAACTCCTCTATAAAAGAAGAAAACCAACCTCCCTCCAATGCATTATCAATGCGTGGCCACGTGTAGAGGGGTTGGGCGATGCGACCTTGATTGCATTAGGGCGATTTATGATATTATTTTAACATGTGAGGGAAGATTCTAATGTGTGAAGGAATATTCCGATCTATGACATCAGCTTACGCCGAGTGATGTGTCATACACCCGAATCACTATACAGAATCGCTAGTTTTTTTTTATAAACGGGAGATTCAACGTCTTACACAAGAATTGACACGGGGTGACCGATTCCCGTGTCGACTTGTGCTAGTCCGTTGTGATTCACAGATTTTTAAAACACTGATTCTATCAATAATTTTGAGTAGTCATTTGTTTGTGGCCTTTGCTTGTCCATTTTCTTAAGGGTAGTAAGATGTGGAGAATTTCTGCCTTATCCCAAACCTTTTGCACACCTTAGTGACTCTTTCATTTTTGAAATTGGTTCCATTGTCCGTAATGGTTGATTGTAGAATGCCAAATCTGAATATAAGGTTATTTTTTATCAACCGGGCAACATGTTGACCTTCAATTTTGATAAATGATGTGGCCTCTACCCATCATGTGAAGTATTATGTAGCCGTTAATATGTAATGGTGGCCATTCAAGGCTTTTGGTTAAATCATTCTAATACTGTAAAGACCCCACATGGCAAATGGTTATATGGACGGTGTTGAGTTAAGTGGTACAGACGGTGCATGAATGAGGTCTCCATAAAGCTAATACTTGAGACACCTCTTAACGAATTTCCAACCGTCTTTGGCCATGGTGGTCCAATAATAACCTTGGCGCTTGATTTTCTGAGCTAAGGTAGCTGCTCAAGAATGACCTCCTTCATTGTTTAATTTTGTTAATACTTGATCGATTTTTGGTTGATCGAGGCACCGCAAGATGACACCATCAAAGGATTTCTTGAATATAAGGTTGTCTCTCATTAGAAAACCCATAGAAAACCTTCAGAGGGCTTCTTTATCTTTTTTAGTGGCTCTGTCAGGGTATGACTCATCTTTCAATTTATTAGAAAACCCATAGAAAACCTTCAGAGGGGTTCCTTATCCTTTTTTGGTGGCTCTATCAGGGTATGACTCATCTTTCAACAGGGACAACACATCGTGGAACTATTGCCTGGACTAGTGCATCTAAGGCCACAAAAGATACTTCCTCATCTTTCTCGTTTTCTTGTTCTATTTCTTTTTCAATCCTTGGTGGAGAAGGGTAATGTTTGTGTCTCATATAATAGCATGGTGACTTCTAAAGGGATTTTTACTAAAACAGTGGTCATGCTGGATCACAGGATAGAGATCACGAACTATGATAATCTATGATTCAAGGGTTCACTGAATAGTGTGGTCCTAAGGGTTCAAGAATATCACATAATTTGTTAGTTTTAAAAATGGGGTCTCTACAACTCTATTATTAAGTTAATAGAGAATGTATTTTCTTTAAGAAAAATGAGAGAGAGGAAAAAGGGTGCATTGCACTATATCTATATATAACCTCCAAGCCTGAGCGTCTATATAGAACCTCCAAGCCATAGCAATTTTAATTATGCAATTTTAATAAAGAAAAAGTTTATATAAGGTTACAACTTAAAATGTAGAATTACGGACGTATATCAAAAATCCATCGGTAAGGATTATTTTAATATTGAAAACCCTCTAATTGAGCATCTCGATATCAAGACGTAGGATTATGAAAAAGAAAAGAATTTTGAGTCCCATAAATGGTGCATCTTACAACACATTATCTAGACCTTCCATTTTCAAGGTTTTCATATGTTTATAAATCTACTTGATTTTAATTATTTTTGGAGTTTAAAATTTTATAATTAGATTTACAATAGATTTTGAGATAATCTTAAGAATATTTTACATCATCAAAATTATATATTATGACAAATAATTTTGATAAAAATTGAAGGTGCGCCTTAAATGAATTGGTTTGGTTTCTTTTCTAAAAGAAGTCGTTTCTGCAGAATTCTCCCCCTACTAACCGGTTAAAGAAAACTATCGTTTCTGCATAATTCTTCCCCTACTAACTGGTTAAAGAAAACTAACAGGTTCAAGAAAAGGAGGTTAGAAGATAGAGAGGTTTAGTCTTGATGGCGTATAAGATGGTTTTAGCGGTGTTGGCCATATTTTTGTGCATGGCCTCTGCTATGATAGTTGAGAAGCAAGGATTTTCGCATTCGGTAAGGAATGAGGTAGAGGCGAGGATGAAATACGAGCTCTGGCTAAGGAGATGCACAAGGGCCTACAATAGTTTGGAGGAGAAAGATAAGAGGTTTGAGATATTCAAAGACAACTGGGCTTATGTCGACCAGCACAATGAGAAGAGTGGCATGACATTCAAGCTCGGGTTGAATCAGTTTGCGGATCTAACAAATGAGGAGTACCGGGCGAGGCACCTGGGCACGCGTGTAATGAACTACACTACGGTTCACGGGGCTCCAGCTGTTTCGTATGTGGTGGGTGTTGTGGAAAAGCTGCCAAAGAGAGTGGACTGGAGGGAGAAGGGGGCTGTCGCTCCTGTCAAGGACCAAGGAAACTGCGGGAGCTGCTGGGCTTTCTCGACTGTTGCTGCAGTTGAAGGGATAAATCAAATTGTGACTGATGATTTGATTTCCCTTTCGGAGCAGGAGCTCGTGGATTGCGACACTTCTTACAATAATGGATGCAATGGGGGCCTCATGGATTATGCTTTTGAGTTCATCATCAACAATGGCGGAATTCACACTGAAGAAGACTATCCATACAAAGCTAGAGAAGGCATGTGTAACCGAACCAGGAAAAACATGCATGTCGTGACCATCGATGGCTATGAGGATGTTCCTGTGAACGACGAGAAGGCTCTGCAAAAGGCTGTGGCGCACCAACCTGTAAGTGTTGCCATTGATGCAGGGAGCAGGGAGTTCCAGCTCTACCACTCCGGTGTCTTCACTGGAAGGTGTGGCACCCAGCTCAACCATGGTGTCACGGTGGTGGGATATGGAAAGGAGGATGGGGTGGACTACTGGATAGTGAAGAACTCATGGGGGGACAAGTGGGGTGAGTCGGGATTCATGAAACTAGAACGGAATGTGGAAAACTCAACCGGAAAGTGTGGGATTGCCATGGAGGCATCATACCCGGTAAAGACGAGCAAGAACCCTGCCAACCCCGATAGGTCTCTTGTGAAACCATACTTGACCCATGGTGGCTCTTATGAGGGGAAGAGCGATTGAGTTTCAATTACAATAGCATCTTATTAAGACATTATTGTAATTCTCTCTTTTTTGTTAACGTCAATTGCTAACCATTCAAGCCCAAGCCAGACTCACAAGGGTGGGAAGCCTTAGCAATCTTGGAGATGTTAGTATATAGCATTGCTAGGACACCTGTTTTGGTTTTCTTTTATGCTTTTGCTTTTGTCTTGGACTTGGAACTTTGATGCCCATGATAGTCATGATGTAAATGTCTATTGGGTTAAAAGTGCTTTTATGAATACCATGTTATTTTCCTGTTATACAAAGAGAGTCAAGAGAATAATCTTAAACCTATTATTCACTAATATAAGGATGAAGTTTCTATTTGGGTTAGGCTTTATGAAAACAAAATAAAACCTTACTTCAATTCATTGTCCGGAGAATACTTTTGGTATCAAAAATCCTCATGATGACTCTAAAAACAATTTCTAAGATAAATATCTATTGAGTTAAAAGTGCTTTTATGAATAGTATGTTATTTTCCTTTCATACAAAGAGAGTCAATAGAATAATCTTAAACCTGTTATTCGATAAAACAACAGGAATAGTGCTTATTGGGCAGAGAGAATAATAGAAGGATAAAATTTCTATAAGGCCTAAGTTTTATGAAGACAAAATATAGCCTCACTTCAAATCCTCGTCTGGAAAGTACTTTTGGTATCGGAAATCCTCACGATGGCTCTAAAAACAATTTCCAACACAGAAAATAAAATTTGATATTAAAAAAATGTTATAGATCTTAAAGAACCGTGAATACTTATTTTTAGGGTGAAATGTATAGCCTAGATAATTTGTTACAATATACACTTTTTTAGAGCTTGAAATCTTAATTTTTTTTCACAACCATAATGTTCAAGCCTAGATGATCAATAGACAGGACTTTCAATACTTGAATTGCAATTTTCTGATGAGTTTTGAGGCATGACTTACTTATTTTGATAAGGTTGCAGCCCTATCAAACTATATCTATAATATAATTGGTGAAGTTTGCATAAAGTTGCAACCTTAAACTATCAAAACCAGGCGTACTTCCAAAGTTTGCCATAAGATACAACTTTGATATCTAAAATTTTTAGGAGGGCTCGTGAATCTATTTTCATCTCTAACTATAAAATTTTAAATTTTAAAAATAGTTCAAATCAAGCATATTTATAAACACATAGAAATCTTGAAAATAGACGGTCTGAATAATGTGTTATAAGCTATGTATTTTTAAGACTTAATTTTATTTATTTATCATATCGATATATCCCAATGTCGAGATGATCAATTAGATGATTTTCCAATATCAAACTAGCGTTTTCAGATGATTTTTTAAGTATACCTTAATTCTACAATTTAAGGTTTTAACCTTATATAACTTTTTCCTAATATAAAGTTCTTCAATCAAACAAAATTAAGGTTTCTAATCGCAAGATGATAACACAAAGAGGTACATTATTATGACTGAAAATTACACATATCCAATTACTTGTAACCAGCGTTTCAAAAATTGTTGATTCGGATTGAAATCGTTCAATATAGATCGGATATTATCCAAAGCGATCCGGATCCAATAATATATCGAGATCCGAAATTTTTATATTATTTTAATAACAAATTTATTTTATAATATAAATTTCTTACACCATACGTATTTGCTGCAGCCACCATTTACATTATTTTATTTAAAACTTCTTACACATATGTGCTGCAGCCACCATTTAAATTATTTTATTTAAAACTTCTTATACATATGTGCACCATACGTATCTGCTGTAGCCACCATTTGCAATATTTTATTTAAAACTTCTTACACATTCCTGCCGCTAATATAAGTGCCTATTATTTTATTTAAAACTTCTTACACATACGTGAGCCACCTTAAACAATCCATTTAAAGCGCACCTCCAAATTTTATTGTAGCGTATAATTTTGATGTAAAAATATTATTAAGATTATCTCAAAATCTATTTTCATATCTAATTATAAAATTTTAAACTCCAAAAATGATTAAAATCAAGTAGATCTATGAACATATGAAAATCTTGAAAATGGATGGTCTATATAAAACTCTAAAAATGATTAAAATCAAGTAGATCTATAAACATATGAAAATCTTGAAAATGGACGGTCTATATAATATGTTGTAAGATGCATCACTTTTGGGACCCAAAATCCTTTCTTTTTTCATAGTCATACATCTCGACATTGAGACGATCAATTAGAGGGCTTTTCAATGCCAAAACAACCTTTTCTGATAGATTTTTGAGGTGCATATGTAGTTCTACATTTTAAGGTTGCAACCTTATAAAAACTTTTTCCTTTTTAGGTATAAAGGTTTAGTTGGACTAATACAACTAATTTCTTTTAGAAATTAAAAGAACACTATTTTTAAATATCCATAATGATTTTTTTAAAATATTTTGAGACAAAATTTGCTTATTTCGCCGATTCTCCTAATTTATTGTTAACGTTTTAGATTTTTAAATTAGATGATATTATAAGATAAATTTCAAATTTACTTTTATTTGTATAGTAAAATAATAATAAAATAATAAAATACATACAAATAATTCTAATTTTAATGTATAATATTGTCTTTAGTTAGATTTTAATAAATATTTGATCAGAATCTTCATACAGGGAACGAAAATCTCAATATTCACATATTGATGAAAAAAATAAAAGTTAATAATACAGTACCCCCATTTTTTATTGGATTATTAAAAAACAATATTTATAATGAATTTTAATAAAATTTTGGGATTTTTTGGAAGGTTTAATTGGATCGATTCGGCTGACTCCTGATCCGAATCGTCAATTCACCGATCTAGATGGGTTTTTGGGGTGCCCGATCCGGGGCACCGATCTGTTGTTTAAACCACTGCTTGTAATAGATTAATTAAATATTCAATGATCAAAGAGATCTATTAATGAAAATTTTGATTCATCATGAGTCGTCCCTGCAATAATATGTAGTTATATTTAGAAAGAAAAAGTAATACAAATTTTTTATTTGTTACAATTTTTTTCTCTAAAAAATATGTGCAAAAAATTCGTATAGAACAACAATGATTTTGAGTTCATACCATTGTCATTGTCAATATTACATGAGGATCTCTTTGAGCGGAAAAGATTATTGTCATTGGTGAATTGGTTTGATGATGAAGGAATGTTATTTGTCATTGGTGTAGAAACGCCTTGTGAAATATTAGTTTCTGAATTTTCGGATTGCTCATATTGTTTATGTTGATAAGCCTTTTCCATTACTATCAGATGAGCACGAGAACATGAATCTCTACGTTCATATTTTGTTCAAAGAACTCTTACAAATTGAGTAGTTTCTAAGGTTACGAAACAAAAATAAGAATAAAACCAAAAAATATAATGAAACTATGAAAACTAAACCCATCCATATAGCATGACAGGGAATTATTACCTCAAACAAGCTCAAAATCAGGTAAAAGCCGGACAAAACTATATAATGCAAACACAAAAAATTAAAATTAAAATTAAAATTAAAATTAAAATTAAAAAATATAACGAAACTATACAAACTAAACCCATCCATATATGTTCTATGAATCAATCCATTGAAGAAAACACCCTGCTTACGTGGTAACAGCATCACAACCTAATATAGCTAGTCAAAACAGAATCACAGCCTAATAAAGCTAGCCAAAAAAAATTTCTTTTTACATTAAGTAACATTTCATAGGGAAACAAAATTTTTTTATATAGAAAAGCATTAAAAATAAATTTTTTATCACTGCAAACATAAATAATAATAATGTTTATGTGGAAAACTCACTAATGTTGTGAAGTAGAGTAAAAATTTGTAATTACTTTCATTGCTTGTAATTTTTGTTTGTTATTATTTTTTTACTTCAAAAAGAACGTTAGTAAAATAAGACCACGTACAAATTAATTCAAGGCAAGTACTTATAAAAAAAAATTTAAAAAATAATTGCATACCTTTGGAAAAGCAAGATTTCTCTTATTTTTAAAGATTAATGTGTTTCTCAATCTTCATAAAATGGGAAGAACACCTAAAAAAATACAAACAAAGATAATGTAAAAAATAAATAAATAAAATTACTACGACTTACCTTCAATATGAACAACTAAAAAAATATAAAGAACACCTAAAAAAAATACAAATAAAGGCAATGCAATAGATAAATAAAAAAAAATTGCAATGACTTCAACAAAATTAAAATTACATTAAAAACAATAAATATAACAAAACTATGCAAACTAAACCCATCCATACATGTTCCACGATTCAATCCATTGAAGAGGCGTAATAAATACTCGCATAATATATTTCACTTTAATATGTTACATATTATGTTTTTTAAATTTTTTATCTTAAAAAATTGATGAATTAGATGAGCACGAGAACGTGAGTCTCTACATTGATCTTTGTTAAAAGAACTCTTACAAATTGAGTGGTTTCTAGGGTTACAACCCATTTCCTGTTATTACATAGTTACTACAATTTTTTAATATGTCTTGCATACTAATTTAGTAAATCATAAAACCAATGGTTTAAAAACCGGATCGGTGACCCGGATCGGGCTTTTCAAAAACTGATCCGAATCGGCGATTCGGATCGGAATCGGGTGAATCGGTTAGAATAAAACTTCAAAAAAATCCGAAAAAATTATTAAAATTCATTATAAATATTG